ACTGGCGAGAAATAACATTTTAATTCCTGCTATTTAAGTGTATGAAATGAGTTTCATCAGTACTGACTTTGGTATTCTTTAGAACGACAGCTAAATGTGGAAGTGTAATTGTAACCCCAAATTAGAGCACTGTGAACTCATGAAGTAATCCGATTTTGTGGCATATATTATTCTCAAACTGACTAAATTCTTTGTTATGATTTTTGAAATTGTGCTCCACCCATTCGAATGCTAGTTATTAAGTAATAAAATTTAGCCCAGTTACATCCAACTTATTAAAGGAAGTTATACCATCCAAACACCAAAACGGTAACAAACCACCGCTGGCTGTCGGGCACTTCTCTTTTTGTATATATAACTTTAGTAGGCAGCAAATTCGCAGAAGGCGAACGTTGCCAACATACCTTAAGGCTGTTGACCTCAAAATTTCTTGCAAGATGCTGTCTTTAATCTAACAGACATTTATTTTCAACACCTTGAAGAATTTAGTGTGGACATTAGTGATCATGGAAATAGGACAAGTGGCTTGTAAAAAACGGTAGTGTGAAAAATGAAATGCCGTATGAAAATATGAGGAAACTGCAGTTTATTGGCACTTGAATGTGGAGGTGCTCTTTTAACCTTTATGATGGATCATTATGAAGAGTTCAATGAGCAGACATTTCGTCGACATTCTTTGAATGATGAACAAATGTAAACAGTTCTTTGTTTGGAGCCAATAAATTCTGAAAAGCTTACCACCTTTCATATTGCTCTCCCAAAAGTGCTGTATTAATAGAAAATAATTTGATTTTGATTTTTTGCCAAAAAAGCTTTTTCCGGTAAAACTAGCTCAAATTAAAAAGTTTCGCTGATGTAATTAATCTGAACAGAGTTTTTATTTAGTCTAAGTCAAACTTAATAATATAAACCAATTCTGTGCATTTCATGATTTCTTTACTGCACAGTTTAATGAAGATTATTAATTTCTTGTCTTTCTAGTGTTGGTGTCAATTTTGTTACTATGGCTACGCCACTTGTTTACCTT